TTTTTTATTTAATTATTTCATGAGAAGAGCGACTAGTTTTGTATCGAAAGGCAAAAATTGGGTCCAAAAATGTCGGAATAATTTCCTTAAAAAATACTTTTATTTTAATGAGACTTTTGTTTGCGTTATATAAGAATCAATTTCTTAAAATCTAAGCATTTTTATTAATAATTTCAGATTTATCTCAAGTTATTTTTGGTGCCTTTGTTTGCCTTTTCAATGGAATCATAGATAATATAAAAAACAAAATCTTATTTTAAAATTTCGGAATAAATATCTGAATAAATAACACAAGTTTTTAGCCTTAACTACATTTTGCTTTTCATTACAGATATTTATTCTATCGTCAAATGTCCTAAAAGTTAATGTCTTAAAAATTATATAACTATTTGTTTGAGTGTCTCTAAAATATAGATCAAATCATAAGATATATAACTTTATATATTTATATAATATATGACTTTTCAATAATAAAAATCTATTTACAGATAATATTTAATTCCCTGTAAAGTTATTAAATAAAAAATCTATTATTAATATATTTTCAAATAATAATAATATAAATCTTTTTAGCATTTATGTCAACAACACTGAGAACTCTTGGAATTCGTTATGATTTTAGAAATCAATTAATTATTTTCTAATAGTCTTTTGAAATGAGAGACTGAAAAGAGAGGACTGAAGAGAGAAGTGATATGAATAAAAGTGGGAGAAATTCATTGAACATAACCGCTGGCGAAGTGCTGATAGTGTTGGGCCTCAACGATCACTGATGTATAGGGAGAGCCGGTCAGCGATCCTTCCCTGTCCTCTGTCAACGATGTGCTGTTTGTTTGGCTTAGAAATGATGGGTTGGGATGTGTTGCCGATCCGGTGTCGCTGTTGTCGCTAAAATACTTCAGACTAGCGTTTGTCGTATAGGCGGTCGTGCCGTCCGACAGATATCTAATAACAGTTGATTTGCTGTTCAAATCAGCATTGATTGCACTTAAGTCTGATGGCGATGAGGACGACGACGAGTTGGACGAGATGTCGCTCGTGATGGCCAACGGCTTGACGTACGGCATGAGTGTGTCGTTCCCGTTGACGGACAACATGTCGACGCCGTTATGGCTGCCGTCGGCCTCCGAATACACATTTCTGAGCAACACTTCGGCGAATATATTCTTGCCGTTCGTCGTCTTCATTGATGGCAATAATGTACTCATTCGTTGTATCTCATCGTCGGAACCGCTACTCCGCTGAGCACTCAATACATTCATATTGTTATCATTACTATAGGCGCGAACGACACTGTCCTCAGCGGTGGTCAACAGTTGGTGTCCAGAGTTGTGGCCGTTTTCCGGCGAAGCGTTGGACTCGTGCACTAAGGCGTCCAATTGGCAAAAGGGCTGATACGGCATCTCATGTGTGATGAGAGCGGTGGGCGCGGCGCCGGTCGCTCTGTACCGGTGGTTGTCTTCGTGTTCACTGAAATACGATGTGTAGAGACTGTTGTCGTAATTGAATGCATAGTTGAGCGACCGATTGATAGTCCACTGACTGGCCCTCTCGTCATACACACCAAAATTCATGCATTGATTTGCATTGAGTTCACTAAAGTTGGCGACTATTGCCGCGTCGGTGGGCACAGGGATGGGGACGTCGGCGACAAAGTTGTCGTTTGATGTGTTGGATGTGTTGGAGCCGGTGGTCGAATAGGGAGACCTCCTATTGTTCTTGTTTCGGCTCGGCTTTGATTTGTCTGTCATTTTGTTCGCACAAATAAATGAATCAATTATTTAGTTTTCTTTTCATTCATTTCATTTACAATTTATTGCTATTCAATTGAATTCAATGCAAAAGTGATTTTATCGCTAATAATTAGTATAATGAGTACAGAATAGTGTGTAGAATATAATACTTGATATATAACGTGTGTATTATAGTGTATGAATTGCAATACAATTGAATACAATATAGGGCTGGCATTTGAATACTCACTGACTCTAGAAGTGGGCGCCGTATTATTACTACTATTATTATTACTATTATTATGATTACTATTACTATTATTGCTGCTATTATTCGTGGTTTTATTGCAAATATTGGTATTATTATTACTACTATTATTAGTGGCACTCATATTGTTATCATTGGTTCCGTTTTCCACACTCAGTACAGAACTCGAAGAACTATATGTTAATGACTCGCGATTGTAATTACTCTCCATTTGATCCAATTGTAGCTGATATTCCTTCACCTCGGGTTCACTGCGATTACACGACAATTAAAGACAATTAACAATTAGTTACTGATTATTGCAATATTTTAAGTTATAATAAACAATAGGACACAGAAGGCATACCTCAACACATAATTCACGGATACAATACAGTGAGGACGAGAAGAGCGACTATTGTGTACAATAGTGGCGTACGATTGCATCCAAACCCAACCGTAAGGTTTTGATAAAAATCGATAGTATTTGGTCGTCACCTGACCTTTGGTTAGCACTAAAATATTTAAATTCATGTATAAATGTATGGTTAGTTTGTGAGCATATATTTACTAATTAAGCGCAACATAATAATTATTATCAATCATATACTGACACGTTTGGTGTGAAAATCTCATATTTTGGATATCACTTCCATGAATGTAATGGTAAAGAGTTTTTTCTATTAAGTCTTGCGGTTCATAACCAGTCAATTGAGACACTCTTGCAAATGAAACAAACAAATGGAGTAAACAATACGTGAAAATACATGAGTTTCTCAGTGATTGATGGCATACCTCGCGTCCAAGAATATTAACTTGAGGTCTAAACTCGCTCTAAACATAAACATATTGCTATACATTTTAATTTCGGTGATTGCACTCGGGGGTAGTGAATGGCCAACAGCTACCAGTCCCAGGTTCTGGTAACACACATCATAAGGCGACTGATCCATACTATAGTGCTTTACTTTCAAATAACCGCTACAATGGATCACCTAAAATGTCGGCACAAAACAACATTAATTCAATTCATTTAATACCAAAATATTAAGGGATTCTCACATTTTAAATCCATTTAATAATTTAATGAACATTTTATAAAATATTCTGTGCAACACATACTCTATTTGCTACACATTTTATGTAATACTTTAATGAAATGCTTTTATCTGGGAATGAATGCAATAATTTACACATTAAGTCTATTTAATCTGTTCATCAAATTTTATTAAACATTTCACTAATACTCTCTCAAAGTCTTATTTAATGGGGAAAACGAGGATTTTAATTAGAAAGTATGTGCAATGTTTTAAACTGATTGTCGAGTGCTTTAATGGAGTGAATGGATGAGAGGATGAATACCTTATATCCTCCGGACGTTAATCCGGCGTTACGTTTAGCCAACACACACTTCATACGGAGGAAAAAGGACTTCTCGACCTCGAAGTCCGTTTGCGCCATATTTGAGGAGTGAGTCTGCGGTGCGAACGGAGGGTAGAGATTGAGTACTGACGTCATCTCGTCGTGATCTGCCGGATGGATGTACTCGAAGATACTATTGCCGGTCAGTTCCACCTGTTATAGACAGTTGTGACGTTTACACGCATTGTGTTAGTCTCGTTATAGGCAACCATTGTATACACTACTTGTGATAGTCCCAAATGGACTGATGCCGTCTCGCTTATGTACATGATCTTGCCATCCGGTGCCACCACAAACACAAACCCGTCCAATGTCTACAAATGCAATACCCGTACAAAATACACACTATTATTACGCAAACCTAAACATTATTGTTTTAAAGGTTTTTTATTTTGTTTTTTTCTCGTTTTTCTTATATTTAGTGTTCGTTTTTTTGCTCTTTTTCTGTGTTTAGTTTTCATATGATATGAGATATTATCATAAATTTAGTACAAAAATCACATAAAATTTATAAAAAATACTTTTTCTGTCAGAATTTGTGCGAATAAATTATATTTAAATATATTTATAGCGAAAAGCAATATAAAAAAGAAAGCAAAGAATTGTGTGAAAAAGTGAAGTTCAGTACAAAAGTGCTGCAAAAGTGTCGCTTCATTAATAATTTATGACATTTTGGTCGTTTTGCTATTCATTTACACGTATTCCTCAATACATTTTGATAACTAATTTAGTGTCGTTTGTGTTGTTTGACAACTGTCTGATTGATGTGAGGGGTCGTGACATACCTGAAGCAAATGCGATCCGAGCTCTTTGATAGCCATTTCATGCGGGTTAGGGGTTGGCGGGAGAGTACCCCAGCCATCGCCCAGACCTGTAATTTAATACATCCATCAATATATGAATATATAACTGTATTTATTGCTGTGAAAATGTCTGATTTGTTTATGTTATTCGAGATTTATTTCATATCGTTATTAATCGGAACGTGAATTACCTCTAAATAATTATAATAACAATAAGGCTTTTAAAACAGACTTTCTTATATTTAACATTATAATGAAAACTATAAATAATTGCATTGATTTACAATATAAACCAATATTTAAACTCAAATTGTGGATAAAATGCAAAATATTATATCATTATTTGCATTTAAAACAAGAATAATTATCAAGTTTAGCCCATTCTATGAATACAGAGTCTGTATAAACATTAGTGATTATGACAAACAATATATGCAGTACTTTACGGCTATAATTCATATAATAAATCAAAAGCAAACCTAAGTTTATGTCATTTAAATTAGTTAATGGAATCAAATTAAGTTAAAGTATTGAAAACAAATGTTTAGTCAAAGCGCTGTCCTTTATATGACTGAATTCAAGACTAAAATTCAAACATTCATTCAATGTGTAGTAGAGTTGCCAACCATTCTCTACTATACGAAAAAATACTTATAATATTTATAAATAATATTTTGCTTATAATTTAATGGAATAGTTAAGATAATGATCAAATATTATTTAATCATGTTTGGTAAACATTTTAATATACAAAAAAATTTTTTTTAATTGTTTTTATATAAATTTAATTAAGAACATTGTAGAATAAGCCAATGTAAAGCTGGCAACACTATTATCTCACAACACAATCGTGGGTTTAGTTTATTAAAAGCAATGAGATTTTTATACGTATGAACTGAATATGTGTGCCGACAGTGAATATGCTTTGGACTGAATTGAAGTGAGCGGTGGTGGCAGTGGTGGAGGAGTTGATGGGTATTCACGGGTGACAGTTATCCTGACATATAATGTTTGTCTTTACAAACTCTATTCCCTCACATTCTGCTCTTCTGTAACGACAACTAAACGCCTAAATTGTTTCACTCCTTTTCATTGCTAACACAACACTCTTATTACAAGAGATTAACGTTATTCAGACTTCTTGTTGGGAAAGGGAACTGAAAACCGCGATAAAAATGCTTATATGTATCCAAACAATCCTTTTGATGATAAAATTGAAACTTTCCGTAAGAGATATGAGAGGGGAAGAGAGAGAGAGAGAGAGAGAGAGAGAGAGAGAGAGAGAGAGGGCAAATTTTATGGAAAGCCATTAAATGCTATGAGAATTACACTATTATTTGTTGAACCATTCGTTACACACTTCCAGATAAATAGCATTAAATCACTTTTGCTCATAATTTTTAGTGATTTTCAAAGCAAATATAAATAGACTTTAATTTATATATTAAGATACTGTTTGCTCAAAACCGGTTTTTATGTGTATGTTTTAATGCTAGTAAATATATGTTACATTTTCTTGAAAATAAGAGAGTGATGCATAACACTATTGTGCCTACTTTCCCGGGCCTTAGCTATGAGAATTACACTATTATTTGTTGAACCATTCGTTACACACTTCCAGATAAATAGCATTAAATCACTTTTGCTCATAATTTTTAGTGATTTTCAAAGCAAATATAAATAGACTTTAATTTATAGTTTAATTTCGTAGAAAAGAAAAGTGAATCGATTAATTTGTTATAAATATAACACCATTTATTGTATTTATATTTCATTATAGTATATGACTATAGGTCTACTTAAGAGAGTTTGTCTGTCTGTAAAAAACACAGGAATCGCTCACAGATATGACACAAACACTACAACAGAATCCGTAAACTCTTATAAATACAATAACGAAAGCATAAAAACTGGTTTATTTATATCCAATACTAATTTCAAGTACTCGTAGTGTGTGGTCACCACTGATTACGTGAAATCTTACAAACATTTGCCGGTAAAATGACAAACACTATACTCATATGTAGAAAATTTGATTATTTCATAGCCTTTTAATGCATATTAAATACAATACAAATAAAATCAATATCTAAGATAACAAAAAAAATTTACACATCAGTTCCTTTGCATTCATTGAATACAATGTTTTCCTATTATATAAACATATTGTTCAGCAAAAGCCAAAGAGCGGGTACTGTATAAGTGAAGTCCAGTTAATGTGAGTAGTTTTTTGACAAAGTATTTGTTAATAGAGAATAGGCATAATTGAGCCGACATTATAAACCCTCCCCAGAGGTTACCCATTGAACGAGAGAGAGAGAGAGAGAAAGGATTGAATGGAATGAGACAAATCATACAATGAAATGAATGGATCGCTTATTTGTGTAAATAATGAACTATTGAGGGAAACAATAACTCTTGTCGTCATCTGTAATAACTTCGGACTTATTATATAAATATACTGTATATTTATGACACACTCAGCACTCGGTTTGTCGCATAGATTTGTATAGATTTTATTCCCATTGCATTGTATCAATCGGTTGTGTGTATAGAGTCTGTACTAACACTCTATAAGACTTGAAGAGCACTCGTCGGACAAAATCAGATCATTATTTATACGCATAATTATTAAGCACTCAATATGTTGTGTGTTATATAACGTATGGCTTCGGCTTTTTTAAGGGCTGATCCCCTCCTCTCGACATAGCTTTCGGTATCAATTAGTAGAGCAACGACTCGATAACTATATAAAAGGCTTTCGCTTTCGTTATACACGTCTCTTCTCATACATTCTCTCTCACATTCATATAAAAAATCACTATTCATTTGACATTCATTTTTCCCATTCATATACAATGCAAACGTGTGTTACGGCAAACAACGGTGTGTTTGTCGCCAATTGTTATCACTATTGTATTCAAATTATTGATTTCTATACACGAAATCAATGAATGAATTAATTGACTAATTAGTTGTTATTTTTATCAATTCCGGTATTCAATATACTGTTATGTTAATAATACATAACGTTTCTATTGTAATCATTACTCGGTTTTAATTCAGAAAATATTTATTTAATGAATGCATTAATAATATAAAAGATATGTTTTTCTTATCTCAGAATCTTATGTGAAGAAGTGTTGAGTTCTATTCTGTGGCCAAAAAACAGTAGCACTTCTTCTTCTTCCCAATGAGTGCTTTCAAACAAATTCCTGTTTTAAAGGGAATGCGGGATATGTTTGGCACTGTATATACGCTTTGCCAGTATTAGCACAATCTGTTTGATCCCCTATTGTGTTGAGGGCTCTAAAAAGCCTTGTTTTCTTTGCCTCTCTCTCTCTCTCTCTCTCTCTCTCTGCAGTATATTTTGAGTTCATATCATATTTTAATTTGGATATAATTTTTCGTGTATTTATTTAATTAAAAAGTGAATGGAGTATAACATTACAGAAGTGCAGAGCATTGGTGTTACTCCAATGATAGCATCATTTTATTCACACATATCTTTATGTCTGTTGTTTACACTCTTTATGATATAAAATTAATATTAGGTTTTCATTTAAAATATTATTTCTGTATTTCTTAACAAAAATATCAATTTCACAATTCAGGCCATTAATGTCATTCTTGAAGAATTCCAGGAATTTGTGCGCCCGTATAGACTGACCGTAAATATTATATAAATCTATTTTATTAGTCTATTCCTAACGCCAACTGTAAGGCGAGAGCTAAAGATTTTAAGCAAAAATCTAAATATCAATAAATGATTAGTGAATTGTTTGGTGTCTGAGAGGGAGAGTGAAGGAGAGAGAGAGAGAGAGAGAGAGAGAGAGAGATAGTCAAAATTTATTATAAATTATATTTATTGTATATGTCTTATGAAATAACGAGAATATCAGTCATTCAGTAATTCATAGTATTTTTTAGTGTAAAACAAGTGAACAAAAATTGTAGACTAAATAAGAATTATAACCGTTTGAATCGTAAACAAAATTCTGTGGCTTTTTATATATTAAATTTACAATTTAATTAATGACTTTACTCTATAGTGTTAAATGTGTTTTTGTTATATTTTTGTACAAAACAAAGAGATTTAGACACTGTATGAGTTAGTGAATACGAGAGAGAGAGAGAGAGAGAGAGAGAGAGGCTTACTGTAAAAGCGAAGGTATCGTAAAATGAGAGTTATGTCTGATTCAAACCACAAGAAAAATAGCAATGCGTTTGTTTTTCGGGTTATATCTTGTGGTGTGAATGTATGTAAACTTTGGATTTACTTTATTTTTTATTTTTGTGCAAAACTCAAAACCCTAAACGCCAACAGATAGAGAGTCCCTCTTTATATAAGACATGGTATGAGTTATTGATTTTAAGGCGTTTGGATCGCCTGAGAGGCATATTTCCGGTTTACTATTACAAACCAACAGGACTTGTGCTCAACAATACATTTAATAGTTATGTATATTATTTTAAGGGCTTTTCATATTTAATTCTCAGCAATAAAAGTGCTGTTAATTACGTAATAAAACCGTAGATAAATGTAATTCATTAAAACAATAAACAATATTCTGTATGAATGGTAATTTTGATTATGATTATTTTAGTGTTGCATTTGTTTTGCTATTATACTCGTAATAGTTTTGACAGAATCATAATTTTGAGTCAAAATTTATTATAAATTATATTTATTGTATATGTCTTATGAAATAACGAGAATATCAGTCATTCAGTAATTCATAGTATTTTTTAGTGTAAAACAAGTGAACAAAAATTGTAGACTAAATAAGTGAGAGAGAGAGAGAGAGAGAGAGAGAGTTTGGATAATGTTAACATATATTCATAACCAACTATGAATTACGATTTGTATAGCCTTTAACCCCATAACCCATAACACAGTGAATAATGAATTGGTTTTCCGAGCGAAAGGCACTTTCAATTAGGCGTGAAAACAGTAAAATGACTTGAAATCACTTCCACTCCCAACACATATCACTAGCTTAACGGTGCCCAGAATTTACTTCTCAGTACTCCCAGCATAAAACCCTTGTGTTGTAATTTATACACTATTCATATGTTACTCACATATAGTGTACTCTAATATAATGAATATTTGAAAAAACTCCTTNCCTTGTGTTGTAATTTATACACTATTCATATGTTACTCACATATAGTGTACTCTAATATAATGAATATTTGAAAAAACTCCTTGGTGATTCAATAACCACGTCATGTTTATAATATCCCCTATTTCAATCTGAACGCTTTTACACTAGCTTATAGACCGACACAAACAGTCCGTTACTTTACATTACAGACTAGAGTCCAGTTAACCATCAGTCAAGCATCAGGTGATCCAAAGGAGGCCAGTCTTTGCCACTCTTTGCATCTGTTGTTAACCAACTTTTCAGCCCTTTTTCACTAACATTTGACTTAATTTTTCTATTTGTATAACTTTTGACAAACAAAATATTTGCCTTTGATTTCATATGTAGTAATTGCAAAGTTAACCATAAATTAAATTTCAATAAATAAATAAAAACTGCATTTCACTCAATATTACGTTAAGAAAAGGTGTGAACGAACCGAAAGGGCGCTAAAAATGTACACATCTTTTGAATTGATTCACAAATGAAAACACAATTCAAATCACAGATAAGACACGTATCGCTAAAACATATGCAATTGAATCGATGGGTAGAGTGACTGACGGACTGACACCACAGTCAATACCCTATTAAACACTATCAACAAAACACAGTCAATCGATAGAAATTCTACCAAAAAATCATGATTTTTAGCAAAAATTAACGGAATAAAAGCCAAAGAAAATCAAAACTCTAAACAACACTAAAAACTTGTCAAAACTAATTAAAACAACAAAAAAATTAAAAGTTTGGAAACAAATATTATGAAAGAAAATACTCTCGAAAAAAAGAAATTTGATTTGAAAAGTTGTGAATCAATACAGTAATGAACGAGTTATGCATTCGCAAGCATAAGGTGTAAAGTGAAGCAAACTTACCATCCGGGAAGACGGCTCTCATTTTCAAGTAGCTGGTGGTGAGCCTAATGATCGACGCTTTGTCCAATTGGCTTGTGATGGCTGCGGGCAATGGCAAGAGTTTGGCCAACTCGAGGAACTCCGCGTTTTCCTTCTCCCGTCGACTTCGGGCCGCGTTTTTGGACTTCTCTTTCATTATTCAGGCGTCCATTCGTTGGGTAAGTGTTGCACACAATTCGCACACAATTCGCACACAATTCTGTGTATACGCTATATATGTTGCGTTCAAATCTCGGTTAAATCTCTTGCGAACACATATACACCACATATACAGCACACATACCATATATTGGTGCATACATTCATCGCCCGCACGACTGCCCCCGCCGTCTATCCGTACGCCAGCAGCCAATGAGAGCATCGCTTACGGCACGCGTCATGTGAGCTGTCATTATAGTTGTGGCCATTGAAGGCACGGCTAGACTCTGGTTGTGTCGACGCCTGCGTCCCATCACTTGGCCTATGATTGGCGGTGAGTCAGGTATGGCACGGCTCCCCTCTTATGACATTCATGCTTTTCAATGCACAGTATGTGTAGAATTGTGTTTTTAATTAACTCCACCATGCTCATACTTTATGATTACATAGAATGTTCACTATATTCCTGCTCTCATTTATTTTAATTTTTGCCAAATGCAAATATATTACCAAATGCTGTGGTTTAATAATTTTCCATTTTTTAAAGAAAATATAATCATGTTTATCATATTTTACTTTACCAAAATTAAATGGTAAAATTTCAATGATAATAGTAAAGTTACATGGTATATTAACGATCTGTTAATATATTTTTTAAACATTTTATGATTATTTAATTTTTATTTATTTAAAACAATGTAGTCAAATAGATGCATACTGTATGTGCTGTTTCATGTTGCAATCTGGTCATTCTACTACAAATTAAATTAAAATTATTTTAAACCCAATACTGTTTTAATATTTTTATAAGTTTTACACCAAAATAATATTTAAAATTTTTTGTTCTCCAAACATAAACATAAATTGTGAATTTTATCAAATTGACCATTGTGTTTATTGCAATGTATTAAGTATTTCATAATTAAATAGACCAAGGTGCATTCGAGCAAATACTCACATTATTATCGATAACTTGAAAGCAATGAAATTAAAAGATAAATCAGATAATAAAATATGTTCACACGTTCTTTATGAATGGCCCACCAATTGAGTACAATATATCAGAATTGTTTGTTCAACAAATAAATGCTATTCAAACCACAAATGACTGCAAACAGCGATACATATGTTGTGAACAGCAAAAAATCAAATGTGATTTCAAAACACAAATCAAACGAAAAATAAATCACAACTAAATTGAAGACACAAACCATCGCTGGAAGTGATCGACAACAACAACAACCACAACCACAACAAGACAATCGTCACCACAACCACATCCTTAGAGTGTGTATCAATCATGTCTGTGGTGTTGGAGACAACGATGGGTGACATAACAGTGGATCTGTTCGTGAAGGAGAGGCCCAGAAGTTGTCTGAATTTCCTGAAGTTATGTCAACTAAAGTACTATAACTTCTGTCCATTTCATACAATTGAGCGCAACTTTATGGCACAGTCTGGAGACCCGACCGGTGCCGGCAGTGGCGGACACTCTGTCTTCGCCACACTGTATGGAGAGAACGCCCGCTTCTTCGAGGCGGAGATCAAACCCACGATCAAACACAAGCGTAAAGGACTCCTATCGATGGTCAACAACGGCGAAGGCCTTCACGGCTCGCAGTTCTTCATCACACTGTCTGATGGTTTGGATTATTTGGATGGCGTCCACACTGTCTTCGGACACGTGACCGAAGGCATGGATGTGTTGGATCAGCTGAACGACGTGTTGTGCGATAACAATAACAAACCGTTTAAAGATATTCTCATCACTCATACAGTCATTCTCGACGATCCCTTTCCGCATCCAAACGGTCTGTTTTATTGTCTTTGTGTTGGAAACCATTGTCTCTGACATTAATCTTAATGTTTTTATCGCCCAAAAAAGGTCTTGAAATTCCTCCCCAATCGCCAGAACTGTCCGAAGAATTACTGAAATCGCATCGAATCGGTGTTCACGAAGACATTGACGACACGGACGGCAAAACAGCC